CGACATCTACAAATAGTTTAATGTTAATTTATCTTGTAGATAAGAAATTATATGCCACAAGAATATTGTTTGGCTCTTAGAAAGTTCCATTCGGTATCTACAACTTCCTCAGAACCGCTACTCGAAGTTTATGGTTCTGGTGTATAGGAATATTGTCCAGTGAAATACGATCAACACCGATTTCTTAATTTTTTTGGGCATCTACCGTTTTTAACGTCTACTTTAAGTCTATTTTGACCGTAGACTGGTTTGTACGCATAAATTCTTCTAGCCCTTGACCATCAACCTTTCTTCCTTGACTTTTTTTAGAATTTTATAGCTGTCTGTCTGGTAGCTCCGCCTCATCTACATCTGAGTAAGTCTTTTTATTCGAAGAGTGAATAATTATTCAAATAATTTATACCTTTATTTCTTGACCTTTTTGGCATCTGAATATTTTAGTATAGATAGGGCTCTTATATATGTAATACACACCATGTCTGGAATTTGAAGGCACAGTTCAAGAGGACACCCTCATACTACATTTGTGAAACAAATGAAGAAATAGACATCCTCTTACTATCAGTAGAAGATTATGGCTAGGAAATGAACATCTTGGAGTATTCTGATTGAGAAGGTATACCAGTCTTTGACAATTCAATATATTTTATTGACACTCTTAATTAATTGTTATAAAAATCAAGGAGAAATTAAACAAATATAAATGTGATAAAAATTCATATAAAAAACTGTTCTCAGGAAGGGAGGCTCCTCCATCTTGTCCTTCTCCAGACAAGAACAGGATCTCTCAGTTCAATGTTGAGATGATACTTATAAAGACATGTCTTGGCAGACGCCTGGATGGCCAGGGTGTCGTCATCCAGGCCTCGCTCGAAGACCCAGTCTTAGAGAGAAAACGAATTCCCCCTAAAATAAAACATAAATGTGATATAGAGTAACAAAAATCAACGAACTATGTACATTTCACGCTTGTCTGCAATCTACTGATTTCCCTCGATACAATTTATTTCTCAAGGCGATTGCGCACTTCAAAAAAAGTGTCTTGTTCCTGTGTAGATGTGTGTTGGAGTGGTAAATCACCTTCAACACCTTCCTTATGACCACAGAATTCTACAGGCTTCTTCTAGATTTTCCGTTACCATTTTTTGTCAAATTTCTTCGTATTTGACCAAAATATAATATGGTTTTATCTATTTGAGAACATTCATTCCAGTAAATTATAAAATATTTTTCTTTGAATCTCTCTTGTCCTTATGACACACATTTGCATTAACGACTTAAACAGAAACCTTTGAGATATCTAAAATTATCATTGATATGTTATGTGAACAATAAGTATTTATATAATTTTGAATATACGTATTTTTAAAAATGTGTTTTCTTTTTAATATTAAAATAGACCCCTGAAGACAAATGTGCAAAGAATTTAGTCCTTTAAGAAAGCATTCTTCAAGAAAGCAATTTGGTTCGTGTCAGACTGAAGTTGGGACTAATTTTGCTGTGATAGACAAATGGACATTGTTAGTGGCGTCTTTAGTTTGAAGGATCCTTTACTTCTGGACAATGGACTTTGCTTCCTGATCCTAGGACTACCTCCGTGTTGTGGATATCTTCTCTGACTTTTGGACAATGGACTTTGCTTCCTGATCCCGATAACTGGTCCGTATGTGGATATTTTCTCTGACTTCTGGGCAATAGACTTCCTGATCCTGGGACTACCTCCGTGGTATGGAAATTTTCTCTGACTTCTGGACAATGGACTTCCTGATCCTGAGACTACCTCCGTGGTGTGAATATCTTCTCTGACTTCTGGACAATGGACTTCCTGATCCTGAGACTACCTCCGTGGTGTGGATATCTTCTCTGACTTCTGGGAAATGGACTTCCTGATCCTGGGACTACCTCCGTGGTATGGATATCTTCTCTGACTTCTGGGCAATGGACTTCCTGATCCTGGGACTACCTCCGTGGTATGGATATCTTCTCTGACTTCTGGGAAATGGACTTCCTGATCCTGAGACTACCTCCGTGGTATGGATATCTTCTCTGACTTCTGGACAATGGACTTCCTGATCCTGAGACTACCTCCGTGGTATGGATATCTTCTCTGACTTCTGGGAAATGGACTTCCTGATCCTGGGACTACTCCGTGGTATGGATATCTTCTCTGACTTCTGGGAAATGGACTTCCTGATCCTGGGACTACTCCGTGGTGTGGATATCTTCTCTGACTTCTGAGAAATGTACTTCCTGATCCTCGGACTACCTCCGTGGTGTGGATATCTTCTCTGACTTCTGGACAATGGACTTTGCTTCCTGATCCTGGGACTACCTCCGTGGTGTGGATATCTTCTCTGACTTCTGGGAAATGGACTTCCTGATCCTCGGACTACCTCCGTGGTGTGGATATCTTCTCTGACTTCTGGACAATGGACTTTGCTTCCTGATCCTGGGACTACTCCGTGGTGTGGATATCTTCTCTGACTTCTGGACAATGGACTTCCTTAACCTGGGACTACCTCCGTGGTATGGATATCTTCTCTGACTTCTGAGAAATGGACTTCCTGATTCTCGGACTACCTCCGTGGTGCGGATATCTTCTCTGACTTCTGAACTTTGGACTCTGGTTCCTCATCCCGTTCTTTGTATAATCGGTTGTCTTATCCCCTAGTATATTTAGTTTGTTGTTTTAGTAGATATTACTCCGCATAGTTGTAGCTAGAGACATGTTTAGGTGAAGTCGAATATATACAGGTTCATTGTATATTGCAGGAAATATGAATAAACCGCCTCTTTCTCTCTAATGTTTAAGACTCTTTTTTTTTTAATTGAAGAAGCATTTTGTTATAATTTCTCGAATTTATTGATGAATAAACATTATAGGGCTAGAGATGTACACTCATGGACAAAACTTAAGAAACTTGTACCTTTTGGTATGTATATCGGGATTCAGACAATAATTCTGAAAGATATTACAGTGACCTTTATTGAAGGCATACAAGATGATTAAGTGTGAACAAAATTGCCTCTGTCTCCTTTAAAAAACAGACGACCGGCGACATCAAAATATGAAATTTTCTTAAGTTTTGTCCATGAGTGTTTAAACATCAAGATTGGTTTTTAAAAAAATGTATTTCAAGTTTTACCAGTGAACTCCGATCAGTAGAGAGAGTTGTAATTCAAGGTTGTGGAAGCTGGGGTGAATGTCGTGTGGGACAGGCCTGGCTGTCGCGACGCCATGTCACGAAAGGATTATCACTTGCTCCCGGAAATGGCCACGTTTTTCTCCAACGGCGGCAGAAGAATGCGCTGGGCATTCCTCAGGTCGTTCACTCGGACTGCAGCGTCGGGACTGACCCATATCCTCGGACTTTCTCCTGGACAGTCAGTTCTTGTATGGGCTCCCTCCATCTTCGCTCTCTTATCTATTGAATCTTCATACTGATGTCTATACAAGAGGTGAGATAGTCCCTAGGCTTCTTTTTCATTTGCTTGGTCTTCGATTTCATACTTTTGATTTCCGCACTTTTGACTTCACCAGAAATAGACGCTTTCTCTGGAATTATTTCTGTTTCTTGCAAGTGATTCCTCTTCAATATTTCTCAATTATTCACACTCTTAATTTGATCAGAGCTGAGTGTTTCCTCAGAACAGTCTGTTTCTTTCATGTTCCCAGTGTTCGTGTTCTTGAATCGTCATACTTCTGACTTGACCGGAGTTTTTCTCCCGGATAGTCTCTGTTTCTTGGATGTGCTTATACGTCGATTTAGTACTCATCATTCCCCTCACTACTTATTTGATCAGAGCACAATTTTTCTCCGATTTATACTCTGACTTTTATCCAATAGTAGAATCTTATATTCTCGCTCTTTGATTCCCTTGAAATAGCGCTTGAATAAGAAAGATATTCTACACCAAAACAAGCTGCCAAATTTCCGGAAGATAGCAAGCTTGTGCCATAGCTTTCTGAGGACATTAAAAAAAAAAAGATATTTCTGCTAAGTTGCGTTCTTTTGGAGAGATATTCTTTAAATGCATTAATTACAATCCAATACATTTAGTGTCTCTTTTAAAAATAATTTGTGCAATCTTTATTAATTTAGGTGAAATATAGGTCTCAAATGATGTACTTCCTTAATCAAGTTCCTCCACCAATTGAAAACTGGTGGTAAGACTTCTTGGTTTTTCTCTTCAGTTGTTTCTTAAATGTGTTAAGAGGGCGTCCTCTTGATCTGGTATCTTCAGCGTATCCTTCAAGAAATCTTTTCAGAAGACTATATGTGAGCTAAAATACAGATTTCTTGGTGGTTGACCTTGAAATTCAAAATCTCTTTTTACCAGATTCTTTGATGCCTATCCTTGTATTTAACATGGTTGACCTATATTTCAAAAGAAATTTCTACATTTATATGAATTCTTGTTATTTTATTCCTTTAAGAAAGTAATATAAACAATTTTCAAATGCATTGCAAGTGGATGTTCAACCTATATGGATTCGTGATAGTAGATTGTCTCTTAAATTATAAAAAGAAAAACTTTTTCCAACTAGTTTTCATTTATTGCGTATCGCTTAAAATAGTGTATTCTTTAACTATATAATATGTTAGGAGAGGTCTTTCCGATATTCTCAATTCAATTTGTAACTTTTATAAAGTGCTTATAGTTTTTAAATCTTTTTCATTATTATTTAAATACTGCCTAAAAGAAAAATATCACTAAAAATCCTATCCTTTACTATTTTAAAAATTAGTTTGGGATTTTAAATAATATTTTTAAAATTATTATTATTTTTTACTCCCATTGAAAAAGGAAATGATTGTATTTATAGACGTTTACCATATATATTAAAAACAATTTTTTTACCTTCTTTTTAACCAATATCCTAAAACAAAACAAGATGATTAATTCTACATATAACCAAATATTAATAAGTTTTATAATCTTATAAGGAGAGAGAAGGGGCTACTTTTTGTTAGCAAAAGAAATATAGGAAAGTTAAAAAGTTAAAAAAAGTATCACCCTCCCAAATACTGACCGACCCTAACGTTGCTTAACTTCGTTGATCAGACGAGAACCGGTGTATAGCATGGCCGAAGGCTGAAAAATTATATCAAAATAGTTTAGTCTATGATTAAAAACTAAGCGATTTTTGGATAGAAAAAGTTATAATGAATTTGTAATAGAGGTTAAAAGATTATTTCTATAATTAGGAATCAAAAAGCGTTATTAATTTGGCGTGATGAGAGAGTTACCAAACGAGATTTGGTAATGAGAAGCATGTTAATTTGTAATAATAATCGATGATCTTTCATCTTCCTAATGAAGATTCGAACACGTCATCTTTAATTTCTTCCTTTCTTTGTTCAAATCTCAACGCTGCCTTCCAAACCTACAAATGTCTCTTCTACAGATCCATCTTCTTCAAATTCTTCTTTTGAAGATGTTCTTGTGGAATGTTTGCCATGCTACTCCATCATGTCTAAACAACTTGCTCTGTTGGTGGCCTCTTACACGATTCTGATTGGTTCGTACTTTTCAACAGGTATATCCCTTTTTCGATCTAGTGCTCACTCGTTATCTCTATGAATATTTAAAATTAGAATGTTTGAAAAAAGGTATTACTTTTTTTTTCTTTTATATTTTAAATAAATGTTGGACTTTTTTTTTGCTATCGTTGCTGATGTATTATGAGGTATTTATTAATAAATAAATGAGACACCAATTTGTTGTTTTCAGTTTTTAGTGAAATATAATGTATCAAAGTTTCAAACGCTTAAAAATACATTTTAAGCATATTGTTATATATAATATAAGGTTGGCGCAAGGAGACAACGACTTTTGGAAATATTGAAATAACTCCTCTGGACCACATCTGCTATAATACTGCCAGAAACTGCAATAATATCGCTAGAACAAGGAATTTTGATAGAGAATGATTGACTGATGTGTCACAGTTCTCAATATTGATGTAAATGTGTGGTAAAAACAAGCGTTAGGATGTTTTGAAACATGCACTCTCTATGTTTGCATGATGTGAATACAGATGTGAAACATCTATAAATGATATCATTGTATAAGCTCTACTTCTATTCTCGACCGCAAGCCAAGTGCGTGCGGAACACGTGCGATGAAAGCTCGCAGCAAAATTTTCAATGGCATAGTTCCTGGTTCCACTCCAATGGCCGCTCTAACTGGGCGATTGTCTTCCCAATTTTACCACAAAAATGTGGGCACATAGTGCTCTACGCTTGGTCTGGTGCCGTAAGTGGTGTCTCCGGTAGTTCCCCGTCTGTGTAGTTCAACGTAGTTCTTGTGTTTTGTCGATATCGATACATTACACGTGGTCTGGGGTCATAGATGGAGTAGATTCTCTCGGTAGTTCCCGTACTTTGTCCGTAGTTCTTGTACTCTGTAGATATAAATACACTATACGTGGTCTTGAGCAATAGATGGGGTCGATTTTCTCGGTAGTTTCCGCCCTTAGTCCGTAGTTCTTGTGCTCTTTAGATATCAATACACTGCAAGCTCTACACATGGTCTAGTGTTATAGATGGGGTCGATTTTTTCGGAAGTTTTCGCCCTTAGCTCATAGTTATTCACCTGACGTGCCGCTATGTTCCTTTGCGCCATTATTAATTATCTTTTAGATACTCAGCTACCAATAGACCCTAATATATGTATGCATAACTATGTGTTATAAATACCCATTTAACATCTCAAGTTTCGTTTTTTTTTTTTCAAAGTTGAATGCCCACTTCTGAATCCTCCGTGAAGGAATTATACTCCTTGTAATGATGGATGTACTGGGTGATTAGTCAGCTCTGGAGTTATGTAACCTGCTAATTATACTCTATTATTAGGGATAGTTAACTCTTTCATGGATGGTTACCACTTTAGTTAAATTAAACCACACAACACTTTCTCTATACTATACTCCTATTAGGTTTCTTTCTTTCTTTGGATAATTTGAATTGGAAAATAAAATTGGAATATCGTGAACATATCTTTGTTTTCAGGGCAAGCTATTTTTTTCACTTGAACTTTACTTTCAGGAAAATATTTTGATGATTTTATCGTACTATTATTATGGTAAATCTATATAAAGTACGTCTTAATAATAGGTTTAGTAAATATTATTTTCATTTTTTTTTTCAAATCGTATTACTATTCTCTGTAGGTTTAGAAGAGATTGAAATCAGGATTGGTAACTAAATACTAAGTTTACTTAATAATAAAATGATATTTTTTCTATATATTATTAAAAGACGATAAGGTTTGTAGCGCTGGAAAATGTGCATATCTAAATCCTCGAAGACAATGTAAAAGATCTGTTTTATTTATAGCGTGTAAGAAACCAATATTTATCAGCTTGAGCCAGAGTAAGAATTACAGTTTTGTAGATATCATGAGATACTATAGATAAACTTTTTATAAATATGATGGTCAAAGGAAAAATCCTGTTAAATTTTGGGGGCTTTAAGCAACTTGTGATATTTGTCAACTTGACTTAATACAAGATGAAGATAACATAATTTTGCTAAGAAGAGATTAAAGGTGAAAAATCTCGTCGTTTTCACCTTTGTTTCTTTTTAGCAATGATATCTGGTGATTCTTTCTATTGTAATAGCATAATTCTGTAAATAGACCAAATATCATGAAATTGATTCAAATTTTAATTCAAATCTCGTAGAATCAAAGCGAATATTCCGTCTATATAGTTTTTAAGATTGGGAGTAATCAGAATTTTGTCAAATTGGCGAAAATAAATGGATGTCTCTTGTGGCGATATGAAGATCCACCTATATATCGTTAAATTGATAAATTTTCTATAAATCTTCTTATAAATCTCAGGCATAACGAAGATCCTGAAAATCTTTAATGGGTTTAATCAACCAGGTCTTATAGCAGTTTTTTTGAAGATCTGCCAACCACTTTAAATTATATTGATAAAGCTTTTATAAATCCCCATAGACAAAGTCCCTGGCAAGCGCAACCAGGTTTTTACCAATTTGGCAAAAAGACAAAATGATACATCCCAATTTTGAAGCTTTTATAAACCCCATAGACAATGCAAAGACCCTGAAAAACAGATATTTGGCAATTTGACAAAAACAAAAGTAAGACGTTGTCGTTTTGTAGATCTACCTACATGGTTGAGAGATAATGTTCGTATAAATCCTTAAAGACGAAGCAAAGGTTCTGTTTATTTTTGGGGTTTGAGCAACCAGATATTTGTCAGGTTGACAAAAAACAGAGGAAAGTGTTCCCGTTTCTTCACTTGAGCTGCTGCCTCAGGCGTTAACGAGGCCTAGACACAAAGGTATTCGGTGTCGCAAGATTTGTTTCGAAATTGATAATTGGCAGTCCCACCCCCTCTTATTGTCTATGTCCTCTTCTCTCCCCACTCTCACTGTCTATCTGTCTAAATATTGACCGAAGTCGGTCAAGGTACCCTCTCCTCCTCCTCCGCATTTCTACTAACAAGTCCTTGGTCGCTTTCACATCTACCTCTTCTCTTTGATTCCTCTAATTACTTTAATCTATGATGAAATACGAGGTGTGATTCATTTGTAAAGAACAGGTTTTTCCATTGAAAGAAGCCTAATCAGTAAATATTTTGATCTTCTCTGTGTATTCTCAAGCCCAAATTAATGGATTTTGATCAAATTCAATCATCCTCAAAAAGAGATTTTCGGCCAAGGTGTTGAGGATTTAAGTATTTATTGAAAGATAGGTTAATCATACAATTCAAAGTTTAAGAAAAAATCTTAATTTGAATTTCTCAAAGAGAGGATTTATGTCTAATATTCTTATTGCCAACACGTCCATCTTTATACGGATGTTTCAAAATTCCAGCAATTCACCTGCTATAGATGAATTACAGTTTTCACACATAAGCTTATTGTGAGAAATTATTTATTACGTCTCAGTTTACAGGTGTTACATTCGAGTCACATTGTCCTGGTTATTTACATATGACAAGTTGGTGGAGTAGAGATTTACAAGCTCTTTCTCACATTTTTTTATCAACCCCATAGGAGAATCAATGCGTCACGTGAATTTATGCAAGTTCAGCACAATATTTCGAAAAATATTAGTAGGTTTTCAGTCAAAATACATCTTTTTGAAAAAAAAAATAACGTTTTTATAGATCATAATCATATTGTTTAGGAAAGAATTGTCTGCGCGAGTTGGTTTAAGCAATCAACTGATGGATTAGAAGAAAAAAAAAAATATATATTCATATTATTGTTACGTAAGCCTGACGTTGTTTATGCTTACCAAAAGGTGTAGGATTCATAAATCATGATGTTCATACCACTGTTCAAGGCTGCGCACACAATTCTTTTACTTACTTCTAACCACAAAAACAAACAGGAGCTATATCTACAAACAGAACTAGAATATACAAATTGGATCAATTCTTTATACGTCACCGTAACATTATAGGTTGACTTAGAAAGTTTGTAGTTGTAAATTATTTTATTGGAACCTTAGATATTTCTTTTCTATAATATCTATTAACCTCAAATGAGAAAAAAAAAAGTTATACAGGGTGGGCTATAAGTCCCGAACCCTTTTAATTTTTTATTAAAAATATAAAAAGGGGTCGGGTCTTATGGGCTACCCTGTATATATATATAGAGATTTTTTTTATATATATACAAGTATATACATATTATTTTTAATATATATGTTTATTAAAAAACGAAATAAAAGATAAAAAGATCAGGTGTTGATATCAATATTAAAAATGGCATATCCTGACCAGGAGCACATGTGCTTTACAGAAGGCAGAGCGCCATCTGGTGGAACATAAATCAATGTTTAGTTGATTTCTGTTCCACCAGATGGCGCTCTGCCTTCTGTAAAGCACATGTGCTCCTGGTCAGGATATGCCATTTTTAATATATATGTTTATGTTATATATTTTAGTTAGAGCTAAAAAATGAAGTTTATTCTTGGACTTTCCGAATTACAATCCTATACCATATTCAAAACCAAGATTAGTCAATCCCAGATCCCTATCACATCTAAGATATTTGAATATATATGCTAGGTAAACGAACCAAAATACATTGTTTTAATGCATT